GGACCCGTCCCTGCAACCGCAGTGCCAGTTACCTTATTGCCCATTGGTTCCTCTTAGTCCCCTTTATTTCCTCTTACTTCCCTTTATTTCCTATTATTTCCCCCAATTCCCCTTTATTTCTTCTTAGTTCCCTTTATTTTCTCTTATTTCCCTTTATTGCCTCTTAATTCCCTTTATTTTCCCTTATTTCCCTTTATTTCATCTTACCTCCCTTTATTTCCTATTATTTTCCTTAATTTCCCTTTATTTTCTCTTATTTCCCTTTATTTCCTCTTATTTTACTTTCAATTTCATTTCACTTCATTCCCTTTTCTTTCCTTTCTGTGTTTTTCCTTGTCACTTCCCTTCCTCTCTCAGACTCCGGCCCCATTCCCTCTGTTCCTGACTCTCTCCATCTCCTCATCTCATTAATTCCTCACCCAATTACAAATCCCTTGCTCATCATTTCCTTACCCAATAACCCGAGGTTCTTTCCTCACCTCCCACCCATTGCTCTACCAAAAACATTCGTTTCATTCCCTCCCCCACTTTTGCTCTCCCATTTTCTGCCCTTTTTCCCCCCGTGGTTGTGGATTTATTCCCGGGGGAATGTTGCTTTAGTTGTTTATTAATGATATTTCTCTCTTCATCTCCATTTCTTGAGAGTATTGGCTTAATTATGTATTGCTCCACCTCTGCACTACTTACTCATTTAATAATGATAATTATAGTACTACTATTACTACTACTACTACTACTATGCATTAGGCACCACCCCCTTCCTTTTCTCTCTCCCAAAATCCCTCTGCTCCAGCCCTAAACCAGGTGGGAACAGCTCGGAGGGCACCAACCCCTTGATTTTCTCCTAGGATTTCATGACCTCCCCCCCCAAACCCCTTTTTCCCCCCGGTTTCCACCCCACACGGGTGTTTCCATCCCCGTTTCTCTGCATCCCTCTCGGAGCATCCCCTTGGGAATACAAGGATCCAGTGCCGGGATTGCAGCCGCACACCTGCTGGCACAGGGTGTTTAGCCCCAAACTTCCTGAATCTCCTCAGGATTTCAAAGCCAAATTTCCTCAAATTCCAGGATTTCAAAGCCAAATTGTCCAACTCTCTCTTCAGGAGCATCTTGGCCAAAGAGTTTGCAGGAAAAACCTCTGTGGAAGTGCAGGATTCCGACCTTTCCCCGCGCCGCTTCGGCTCCATCGAACCCTTCAGTTCCTGCCAGGTTGGTTTGGGATTTTCCTTCTTTCCTTCCCAATGGGAGGTAGGTAACGACTTATATGAGTGTAAAGGGGTTGGGAAGAGGAACTCGAAGCTACATGAGCCATCCCTGGTGAAGAAATTGGACTAGAATCCGTGGGTTTAATTGAAATACCCACTTTTTCCCTTCTAAGGAAGATATTTGGGATGCAGCAGTTCCCGAACAGCCCTGGAGTGTTCCCAGCAGCCTGATCCAGACTCACTCAAGGCAGGA